ACTATAATAACTCTCTCACCAATTGTATCAATTTCAATCTTAACTATTAACAATAATGTGACTATATATAAAATGGAACAAATTCTCAAGTTATTTGAAAAAGTGTCATACGTGTCACAAGAAATTTCTTTAAAAAATGCTATAATTTTATTACAAAAGAATACATTCACATTTCTGTATACATATAATAATATTATGTATAATGACAATTTAATTCATATATGTAAGAGCACCACACTATCATTTTTAATTTTATAAAGAAAAAAATTACGTAATTTTTCATTTAAAATAAAAAAAAAAATTATTTTATTTCAAAATTTCTTTAGTACAAGTTTCCTCTTGCACACAATAGTAAGGTACAGATAAAATGAAATAAACAGAGATTCAAAGGAAATTTCCATTTTTATTCTTCAGGATCATTGTTATCTCGTATATTATGTATGTATATATGAATGATATTTCATATTCTTTTGATGTTGACTGACATTTTAATGTAAATCGGTATGTATGTACTTGTACACATAATTTTTTTTTGTATATCCAACATTATTTATTTTCTTTATTTTGTCAACTGAAAAAAACCTACTTATAATGGTCTGTTAGGCATTTAGCTTTAAGGTTTTCAGGTCACCACTATAAATATTCAAATTTTCTAACTTTTGTGGTATGTACGTAAATGTGAATGTAGGAAAAAATTCGAAATTGTTTTATATGTGACGTAATCTGTAATTTCTTTTTGATTCTTTTAAATTTAAATTCATATTTTATTTTGCCTGTACAATATTTATTCAATAATAAAAATCCAATGGTCAATTGTTTTTTATTCTCATTTTATTTTTTTGGCATGGCATTGGCTTACATTGTTATTTTCATCTTTTACCATTGAAATTTTCTTCAAACTTTGTAAAATTCTTTTTAATATTTTTTTATTGTTTTAGTTGTTGTTGAAGTCAAAAGGAAATTGTAAAACTATTTCGTATTTAAAATTGCTAGGAAGTTTTGTTTATTTAAAATTTAAAGTATAAAGAGCATTGTAATATTAAAGGTCACTATAATAATTTTTTTTTTTCTGAAAATTTTCATAATTTTCTTATTTTTTAGCTCTGCAATTCCGGGTTGTTTTTTGTTTTTCTATATTCTGTAAATAGTTTTGTGTTTTTAAATGTGAGAGTACATGAGAATGTAAGAGATAGAGAGAGAAAGAGGGAGAGAGAGACAGAAAAAAAAAATGATTTTTAAAGGTAAAATTTCCTATTGTCTCAAAAGTTTTTGTTTGGTAAAAGCAAGAAAAAAAAAAGAGGAAAACAAAATTAATGTTTTGGAAAAATTGTTTTGTTAAAAAAAACAAAGAAAATAAAAAAAACAGAACAAGAAATAAATAATAAATGAAGTTTTTTTTTTTGTAGTTGTAGATGGAAAATTATTTAAAAATTGTCGAACATGAATATTTTGAATAGTTTTAAATAAACTATAATTGAAGGTCATAATTTCTGTAATTTATGGTAATTACATAAAAATCTTTTTAGGTAAAACTTGTAAAATATTGTATAAATGAGTATTTATTTACAAATATAAGTATATATTTACATAAATTATTATGTTGGCATTTCTTTTTTGTACAATTAAAGAAAATAACTTGAAAAAAATTATACAAAAAAATTAATTTAATACAATTTTTTTTTTATTAAAGTTGTCAAGAAATAAAAATAATAATTAATAATAATTATAGCAATTTTGAAAATAATTTATTTTATTTTTGGAACTGATGAGAATTACTTTATTTGTATATAAACACAACTACTTCAGTAAAGTTCTGAGAAAAAAGTGGAAAAAAATTAAGGTAAACTTTAATGCTTGAATAAGAGAAGTTTTGTAGCGAAAACGTTAAAGAAGGTTTTATTGAAGGTTTAATTATAAATATTCGTTGTTTTAATACTGAATAAATTATTGAATTTTTGTATTCAATGTTAAGAGTTCAGGGAAAAGTTTAAAAAATAACAAATTTATTTCAGAATAGAAATTTCAAATTTTAATGATAACTTTATGATTTCAATTGTTAAAAGTTAAAAAAAATTTTTAAATTTTAATTAAAAATAGAAAACCGGTTAACAAGTGCATATGCCAATAGAGTTATTTATATGATGAATTTAAAATTAATTATAAATGAATTTTAGTTACTTATAAAAATTTATACTTGATTTTCTTTTAATTACGGCATTCCATTAAAATCATTTTAGTTTTTTCTATTGTTTACTTTAACTTTACCGACCGTATACTAAAGGAGGTTATGTGATAGCATCAAAGTTCGGATACCATCGGCGGTAGGAAAGCGAGTTGTACAAAATAAATTATTTTGTAGAGATGTTTGTCTGTCGACCTGTGTTTGCCATGTCATGAATAGATCAAGTTTTAGCATAAGTAAAAGGTTGGGGATTGAACCTTTTTGCAGGCCAATTTTACATGTGTGCGCATATCAAGAATAATAATCAACCAAATCGATTGAAATTTAATATTTGAACAATGAGGGTATGAATTTTTTGAAAAGATCAGTTTTGTACCAGACCAATTTTATATTTTTTACGTTACCATTATTTCAAGAAATTTTATCAATATGAGCTCCGTATTATTGATAAATTTTCTACAAAATTTAATATTTCAGTTCTGGTTGTTACCGCAACCAATTGACAAACTTTTCAGAGAATTCAAATTTGGCAGAGAGCGAAACTATATATACTAAGACTTAAATTTACACTTTTCTAGGCATGTTAACTAAAAGCTTATTAGTCTCCTTAAAATTGTAAAGAAGTATTTAAAACGCATTTTCATAATCTTCTGTAATACTTTAACTAAAATAAACAATGCACACTGCGGTTAGTTATGCTTTGACCATATCAGATTCTTTTGAATTGTACTTTGAAATGCATTCAATATTGTATCAATATTGATGAATAATCCACACGTTATAATTATAAGAAAAATCAAACGAACTAAGACACATTGTTTCTCTGTGGACAGACGGTGCTTATATGTACCGTTCCGGAAATTGGACTTGTGTTAGATATCTATAAAAACTTTCTTTTAATTTTATTGGCATTAAAGCTTTATAAAATACAAAACTCATATTTTTTTGGTTTTTATTGACTTACAACAATATATGAATAAAGGAAAAAAAAGTTAAATAATATTTCAGCATTTAGTTTCTTTAGTTCCAATTTTTCAATTATGTATGTAAGTTTATTCACATTTACGCATAAATATATAGAAAGAAATAAGTCCATTTAATATTTCGTCCATTTAATATTTAAAAGTTCATAATGTAGTTCGAAAAATGGAAGTACTGAAGACGGAATTTAAGGCGGAATTTAAGACGGAACTAGTTTTGCTAAAAAAATGTTTAAGAGAAAATATTTACAATATTAATTTTTTTCTGTAAAAAAATTTAAATTAAGATTTTATATGCAAAATGACAACTAATACAAAATATTATTAAATTTAATTTGTTTTTAAGAAGTATTTCACTTTTATGTGAAACAATCAAAATTTAAATTACTTTTTATTAAAAGTGAAAATATTTTTAAAAGTAATTTTCAAATCCTTTAATTTTTAATATCCACTATAAAACACATTTTTCAAATGAACTTTGAAATATTGCAATCAAATGTTTCAAAACAATTTTAACAGGGAAGAAATATTTAAAAATTCTTTTTACTACTTGTATAATTGAAATAAAATTAAAAATAAAAAGGGTGTTTTTTTTTTTTTAAATTTCAATTGCATAATTAACTTAAGTAATTCAATTTAGTTCGTTACATACAATAACTATTTTAACCTCAATCTTAAAAACATAAAATATACTTCTGCCATACTTAATGTTTAAAAATTAATTAAAAATAGTGTAAGTACTTACGATGAAATAAAAAATTTTGTTATTTAATTTTTATAAGCTGTCAAAAAATATCTTTAAAGTACGGGCACTTTATTCTATAAAAATACTTTTATTAAGTATTTTTTCTTTCTTTTTTTTGATTTAATTAAGATGGTGAGTTTTATTTTGTCTTTTATTTTACTTTTGCTCTAATAAGAGTATCCTTTTTTAATTATCTCTATACATATACATATATATATATACGAAAAAACAAGTTGAGAAAAAAGTATCCTTTCATTAATTTTTACAATTTATAACCATCTGTCCTGACATGTCCCTTGTCTACTGTTATATTATATACATATAAATTGCATAAAAATAGGAAAAAAAAAAATTGTTACTTTCTTTTTTAAGAAGGACATTTTAGGAAAAAATAAAAATTTAAAGAAACCTAATTGCTACTTGAGACATTTGGATAAATTTTTATATATAAATAATTAAAGAAAATTAACTATATACCATTTCCATCTTGAATTTTAAAAATGTAGCTATGTATATTATGTTTGTAGGTATGAAAATAAAATATAGCTCATCATCTTATACTTTAGTATTATAAGAATATATATATATACAATTGTAATATCCACAAATATTTCAAAAAAATTAAAATAGTTTAAGAACCTAAATAAAAAATAAAATATATATATATACATATATAAATAAATAAAGAAATTGCGAAAATGAAACTGACGTAATTTTTTTTCTTCGAATTCTCTCTTAACATTTAACAAGAAAATTCCTGTTATAGTAGAAAGTTTTTACTATTGTCTTGTCGTTCTATTTTTTTAAGAAAGAAAATTAGGTTAATTTCATTTCTATCTGTCTTACTTCTCTTTCTTCTAATGAATTTAATGAATTTCTTAAATCTGAAGACAAAACAAGGAAAAATTTTCATTTGGTCAGGATATTTTTCAAAGAATAACCCGAAGATAAAAAAAGGACTATAGCTATATTATAGGTATACATAAAACACGATTAAAGTAAGTGTACTTATATTAGTATTGTACTTATATCGAAGTATTTAATATATATGTATATTGTATATTAAAAATTAAAATAAAAAAAAAATACTTACAATGTACAACTAGCCGCCACTTGTCCTCAATGTCACTACTTGGAATGAATTGATTCTCAGCTCGACAAGTCAAATATTTTCCATCATCCTCTTTTGTTGGTGTAAATGTCAAAATACTTAAAGATTGATTGTCTGGTTCTGAAAACTATATATAAACAAAGGAAGAAAAAAATCAGGAAATTATAGCAAGAAAAATATTTCAAAATGGTTTTCAAATTAGAATTTTCTTTGATTTAAAAGTTGTAAAATTTTTGCTTACTTTTGCTTTTATTTTTCTCTTTTGTTTATTGTTTTAAAGGAAATATCATTTCTTTTTTCTTTGATAGTAAATAAAAATTACAAACAAAAAAAAAACAAAAACAACTTGAGTTGGATAAAAAAGCAAAAAGAAAAACTCACATTTTTTGCCAGTCTTTTAATTTGTTTATTTCCTTTCCACCAAGTGATCATTGCAGCTGGCTTCGAGCCTGAACTTTTACATTCAATATCATAAGTTCTTTCTGCCGAAACGAATTTCTCTTTTGTTAAAATATGTACAGCGATTGGTTTAACTGTAAATAAACAAAAACAAAATTTTAAAACAGTAAAAATAATAAGAGATTACAAAGAGAAAAGAAAACTAAGTAGAAAAGGATATTGAAAATTTTTTTTTTTAAATTAAAGTTTTATTTGTTTTAAGAATAAAACACGATAAAAAAAACTTTCTTTTTTAAAAAAAAAAAAAAAAAACAATAATTATTTTGAAAATTTCATTGATTAAACAAAAATAACTAGTTATTCTGTTTGATATTAGTTGATGGAAGAATGATAAAATTTTTCAAATTAATTAATTTTTATTTCAAAATGTAAATAATTAATAATACACAAAAAAAAATTATTATTCTATCGTATATTAAATTTTTTTGTTAATCAGGAAAATGTTGGTTTTTGTGCTCTTCCTATTTGAATTAATAAAATTTTTAATGTTTCCAATTAATTTTATAATAAAATTTCTATTCCGAAAAACATAGTATTGTTAAGTGATTTTGCATACGTTCTTTAGGAAGTAAATTGGTGAGTGACTTAAAAAATGCGGTATGAAAAAATTCTATACAGTTTATTCACCATTTTAATTGTTATTTTATTGTCAATGTCAAAATTATTAAGTCAAGCCAGAGGTTAAATAAAGTGCAACATTTGTGAAAAAAAAATACTACAAAAAATATATATTACGCAATAAATAATTTTTGCATACTTTCAGGATGACAACAAAAATAAAAAAAATGTTAATTGCAAAATTGAAATATTGCTAAAGAGGATTGAAGAAACAGTTTTGTTGGAAACGAACAAAAAAATTCGACAGAAAACCATTTTCTATTAGAAATATGCGAATATAGTACAAGCACGGCCATTTTTGTTAAATGAATAAAACGAGTTGTTTCAGTTGATTTGCTACACGTGCTGAAATTTATCTTTTTTTTTACGTAAACAAATTCTTCACTTCTTTCCACTTAAATGAGAAAAGATAATCAAAATTTATTGTTTTATTAATGTCATTACGTACGTAATTTTTTAATAAATAAGCGTGATTTTACATAAAGAAATATTTTAATGAATTTACTTAATGAATTGATTTAAATAATTCTTTAAATTATCTATCTTATTCAATGGCAACAAGATTTTCTCATATACATTTAAAATTCTTATTAATGTAAATTTTTAAATATTTAGAATTGCTTTCAAAAACATTTTCTTTGAAAATAATTTCGAGGAGATAAGACACCATAGAAACCTTTCATACTGTAAATTATTTAATTATGAACACACTTCCGTATTATATATTAAATATTTATATACATGCAAATGTATGTACTTACGATTTACATCCAAAATCACAACTTTACTATTCGGTGGTGTTAAATTTGTATTACTGGCCATGCATACTAAACGTGAATCTAAATGTTGACGTCCAATATTTGGAAATGATAAATGATTCACCGTTGTACCATCTGGTTTATGCTCGAATGATTCATCTATAACTGTATTATCTAAATACCAGGTAACATTTGGACGCGGTCGACCTAAATAATATAAAAAAGACAAAAACAAATTACCAAAAGAAAACAAACAAAATAAATAAAAACATTTTATAAAAAATTATGAGTAATTTTATACTATTATACAAAAATTATGTTCCCAATTTAATATTGTGTTATTTTATCCACACATATGTATATAAACATTAATATAAGCTTGTAAATTTGGTATAAGGATAAAATTAGAATGCCAGAATATATTAATTTTTGCGTACACAATATTTTATATGTGAATAAGTAGGTGGTTAATAATAATATATCATGTAGAAATATAGTTGTAAGTCTATAGAATAACACAACCTACATATATAATACAGGCAATATTTTATTTAATTTGAAATATATGGAGGAATAAAATAAAAGGATTATTTTGATAATAAAATTAACAAAAATTTTGCTCATATACAAATACATTATTATATCAGATGTGACCTTATATTATAGGTATGTGCATTTAAAATAATTTAGAATGGAATAATTTAAATATCGTGACTGTTTCAATTCATTAATAATTGCTGATTAACTATATATGTATATACATTATATAAAAAGGATTTGTATAGCAACAATTGCTGTTATTTTAAAATTAAAATAATTTGTTTCGATTTAAAATTATTTTTAGAAAATAAATAAATAAATGTATCGTGAAGTACAATTTTTCAAATTATTTATTTAATTTATGTACCTATATAAAATTTTTTTGTATATTTATATTTGTGAGTATTTGTATTTAAAATTTGTGTTATACCTACATATTGAAACTTAATAAACTATAGTTTTATGGGAATTTGCATATGAGATTTATAATGAAATTTCGATAAAATATGAGAATTAATTTTATTTGGTGGAAAGGGAACATTTATACTAATTTCAAAACAAACATTAATATATTTTTATTTTATATACACGTAACTCTGTACGTGTATCTGCTGACATTAAAACATTTAGTGGACTTTTCGAATTTTTATTTTTTTGAAGCTTTTATTTTATATTTAAGAGAAGTAATATTCTGGAATCAATATATTGTTTTGCATAAGAAAATTTAAAATTGAATGTTTTAGCTCATAAATAAATTTATTCAGGAGTTCTTTATTAAGAGAATTAAAAAGAGAAAAAATATATCATTTTACAAATATTGGAAAACTTCTCGACAATGAAATAGAAATTTTTTTCATGCAACAGTAGAAAAGATGGGTGAAGTCAGAGTAGTAAGTTAGCATGTTAATGGAAAATATCAAAAGAACGACTTAAATTGTTTAATGCCAACTATAAAGATTCATTGTAAATAATTTTTAATTATGGCTTTTCTACTACGACTCGTTTTATTATCTTTTCTCTAATATTATAGAGAAAAAAATATTTTTGTTCATTTTTATAAAGAATATATTAAAAGAAATAAGCACATTGTTATTGCTTAGCTATACTTAGGTACATATAAAGCTTACAAATTTTTGAGTACTTTTCAACAATAATTTGCAAAGTAATATCACGAACATTTTCATAAAACCTAAGATCATTCGTTACCAAACGAAATTTGTAGATATTATCTAGAAAGCAAAAATTAATTAGTGAAAATTTAATAAAAACTTCAAAATATTTTAGAAATTCAAATTAAAAAAAAATTTTTAATTTCATTTCAATGTTAAAATTTTTAAAATCCACCCGATTAAATGTAATATTCATAATATTTAGATTTTATGGTTTGGTAAATATTTTTTTGATTTGCATTTTCATAACAACTTTTAATATTTATAATTTTTATAAAAAAAGAAAAGAAAAACAGAAAGACACCTTCATGATTCTTACTTACCTCCATGAACTTCACAAATCAGTACCACATCACTTCCTTCATTATATGCCTCTACTGTTTTTGCTTTTTCATGCCGTTTTGCATCAAAAATTATTGGCCTCTCAGGAGGTACTGAAAAAAAAGAAAAATGGAAAAATTAGAAAAAAAAAGGTAAAATTTTTTCAGCACTCTTTTTGTTTAAGAAAATTCGAAGAAAATTCATATATGAATAAATAATACGTTTGGGTGTATTTGTTATTCAGTTTTTTTATTTTATTTCATAAATGTTTTGTAAACTTTGCTTATTATAAGTTATTTTCCTTTCTTTTAAAGTGGTTTATTTACCTTTTGTTTAAATTAAAATTTTTTTTTTCTTGTTTATTTAAATTTTTAATGATAATTTTGCTGAAACGATAATCAAATTTATTTTGTTTTTTTTTTTTTCGTTTTTTTAATATTTCAAATGGATGTACTCGAAATATTATTTTGTTAATACTTTTTTTTCTTGATTGTTGAATTTTGAAATGAAATTAAAAAAGAGAAGAAATGTCCTTGAATTCTCAGAGAGTATTTAAATATTTATAAATACAGTAATGATTTTTTAGGTCAATAAATTTCTGGTTACCAAAGAACAAAATATTAAGTATAAAGAAATTTTCAATGAGTAGGCGGCGACAATAACGCAATGTAAGTAAGAATAACTAAAAAGTCATAATTATTTTTTTACTTTACTTTTTTTTTATGCACATATATACATATTTATAACTGTATTCGAAATGTTTCATAATTTTCATATAAAATATGTACATATAAATCACAGAAGCAAATAATTGGGTAATAATTTTATAAAAAGATTTTCTTGGTCCTTTTGAATTTTTCAAGGTTATAATGTAAATATGAATTTCATTAATTTTAATAAAGAAAGTTCTTGAATGATTATTATTATTATTATTATTTTTTTCTTATGTATAAATAATAATATTTTGTGATAAAATATAAGAGCACACAGAAAGTTCAAAGGGTAAAAAGTAATTAAAATTTATTAAAAAGAAATTATAACTTTAAAGTAAAGAATAATTAATGAGAAACTTGGTAACCTTTTGCATTACTATGCTTTCTTAACGCTTTAATATTTTTTTGCACTATTTTTTCTGTTTGTTTTTCAATTTTGATATGCAAATGAGTATATGAACTTATTTCTTTTTAAGAAGACCAAATCAAATTTACATGTATACTTAAAAATGCTATGGCATAAGCAATGTGGTGATTTTAATTTGTAAGCAAGGCACTAAAAAGTTCAAAAAGAAAAAATGGCAAGATGGCTGAAGTTGAATAATAGTGATGAAATGGAGCCATATGACTTTATTCATTATTGACGTTTATAATATTTGTCAAGTCAGCCATTTTTACTGCAATCACCATTAAATGTACTGATTGTGGACATAAGGACAACGTAAAATATAAGTGAATACATTCTTTCCTTAAATTTATGCTTGAAAATTCACTATTGAAATTTTAAAACATGCAATAATGAGAATAATAATAATGAAAAAAATAATTTTCATAAATCTTTGTTGAAGTAAAAAAATTTTTATTAATTTTTATAACTGAAATTAATTGTAAAAGTATTACACCAGTGAGGTGATGAGAATGTCCATCGCGTCACCTCAAATATTCATGTCTGTCGGACATGCAATGGAAATATTTTCGCACCAGCGGTAGCACTTGTAGATAACATCGAAAATGAAATTATAAAAGGATATACATGAAATATCAAGGTGAAATATAAATTCCTTAAGGCTTGTATTAATTTTAATTGTTTTGATATTTTTAACATCACTTAAAAGTGTCACTGAAAAGATGTGGCAGATTAATAAATTAAACATTTTCTTATGGATTCCCTGAATTCTCCAAAATAATATCTACATATTCGAGAGAAATTTTATATTATCTTTAGCATTTTTAAACATGATTGAGATATTTTTAATAAAACATAAAGGGAAAATACAACAAGAGCAGAATCCAAGCCAAAAAAATTCATTCAACTCAGGAAATTGTCTTGAATTAAAATTAAAATATTAAAGTATTTTAAAAATTATGTTTCTCTTCTACTAAATGATGTAAGCTGTTTCTCTAATTTCAAAATAGGTGCTTAAAATAATAAAATTATTCTTGCATATAATAATCATAATATACTAATTATATGTATATTTGTATGTATAATAAATAAATGTCCTTGTTTTTTTTTTCATTATTAAAATCTTGATAAAATATTAAATTTCTTAATGTCCTCACATTAGCTTCGTAACATTATTACACTTATTATATTATTATATCGTTCGTTTACAATATTACTCGTCGTCATCACTTAGGATAATTTGCATCCTCATTAGAAATGATTCTCATTTTATACTTCAATTCAATGCTAATCTATTCCATTTTATATTATGATAATATTAGAAGGATATTATATAATATATATATTTATATATATTTTAAATACACAACTTAAATGATAACAAGAAAATAAAATAAAAATAAAGGAAAAGAGGAAAAAATTTTTAGAAAAAAAATCAGAGTTTTTCTAATGAACCCTCAATCTGCTGAGCTGTATTTTTGTATCTGCTTCAGAGAAAAACTATCCTTTCCTTCCTTATTTCAATTTCCCTAAAAAATCTACTAATGTTTATGTATACATATATGTATATATATATGAACTTATATACATATATGAGTAAATAACAAAAAACGTCACTTGGTAAAGGTACAAAATTACATTAAAAAAAGTAAGAACAAAAATAACAAGTTTTTAGATTACCTTACCACCTCATTGCATCCTGATCCTGGTCATGTTAAAACACAAAAAAAAAAAAAGACAGTAAAAACAAAAAAATTAAACGAACTCTTGATGTTATCATCATAATCAAAATAAGGACGACACAGAAAAAAATTCTGTTTTTTTTCAGTTCAGTTTTTTCTCTTTCTTTTTTTTATTTTTTTACTGATTTTCATCTACACTAGTATTAAAATGTTAAAGTTGTAAGGTTTCATCCTGAATATATCCTTTTTATTTTTATTCCTGTTTTTGCTGTTTTTTTAATAAATTGTTTTTTATTTTTATATTACATTTTTGTTTTTCAACTCACATTTTATGTTGTGACACGTAAATTGGACGTTTTAACAAAGTGTGCAAATTCCATTTACATTTTCATTTTAAATATATTTTAATATTTAAATAAATAAAAAAGAATAAAAAGAAAATTAAAGTATAGACAAAGCAGAAGAGTAAAGGAATAACAGGAATATAAAAAAAATTAAGGAATATAAAAAGAAATAAAATTCAAAAAAAAGTATGGTTCTTTTAATTGGAGTTGCCATATGACACTTTAAAGATAAATTAAAAATCTTGCTATCATATTGTAAAGGTTTTCATTCTCCAAAGTGACTTTAAGGAGTAAACTAAAAAAAAGAAGAAAAAAAAACAGGAATGAAAGAGAATTTTTTATTTATTGGAAAGAAATGAACTTTACAGCCGAATAATTAAATTTTATTGGACAAACATTTGGGTGAGTTGAAAAACAATAACAATCCGTGAAAGTACGTACAAATGTGAGTTTTTCAATAATTTTCTTAAAACTTCTCAATGCGTTTTAAAATTCTAAAAAAAAATATTTAAAGCGATCCATTTCTTTTATAAATTTTTTCTAATTGAATTTAATTTAAAACCGAATATACATTTTTACCGTAACCGTAATTTACATTTTTGTGCGCAATGTGAGCTTCTTCGTAATACAGAGTAAATTTTCATAAAATTCAATTGTTTAATATAATAATAATACTCCTTCCATTTAACATTACAGAACTATATTAACGGGAAAAAAATCAATTAAATTAGTTAATAATAAAACATTCTTTGGACGAAAACTTTTTCGTTTCCTTAAAAGCCATCTCAGTATTTTATTAATTTTAATTTCCAATCAACATGTCATTTAGAAATAAGTGTACAGAATTATTTGATTTCTACCTAACAGGTATTAATGTTAGAACTTAAATTTTTAAGTATGATGGTTTTATATTAAACTTCTGGTAAGAACAACTAAACAAATAGAATTCTAAGAAATAAACGAAAAGTAAAATACTATTGGAGTCTCAGTTCGTACGTACATTAATTGATAGAATTTTTAAAATTGTGCACTACTGAACAATTTGTTTGAAAATGTTCCATAGAAAAGCTGGTAGAAGGAGTTGATTTTCTTTAAAAATTTTTTTCTGATTAATCAGTATTAATTTTTTTCAAGCTTATGAGTAGATCTCATTAAAAGAATTGAAAAACTCAGACTATTCCAAATACATCCTTTTATATAAAATTGCCTAATCGAGTTTAAATAATTCAAAATTTCAATATTATGTAATATGAACAAGTTTGCTTACGTAATTGCTGTAAAACATAGAATATATGAATGGAATTCTGTTAACAGACTATGTATTTTATTAATGAAGTTCTATGTATGTAAGTACATAAATTCCTTCAAGCTCAGGTATAAAATAACAGGTATAAATATCTAATATTTTATTTTTTCCTTGATTTCCGTATTTTAACAATATTTAATAAGTATATCGTGAGCATAAAATCTTTTTGTATATATCATGAATTAAATGTAATTACATGGTAAAAATTAAAAATTAACTATAAAATTATTCTATTTCTCGATAATATTGCCTTTTATAAATAATTATATTATATTATATACTTATTTATTTTTTGAATATTTTAACCTTGAAGGAATACAATTTATTGCTTAAAGGACTTTGAAAATTATTATGCTTATCATTATTATAATGTTATTATTATTATTATGATACACTAAGGTATAATTAGTCAACGTACATTTTCCATATATATTTTGATATATCAGCAATATGTACGTTAGATAAGAAACATTATTTTCTCTTAATCTCCATTTGTTTTTGGTATTTAATTTTCTGGCAACCTTCAACTTTCAAAGACGCTTAAATGTGTAGTACACACATAGAATGTCGTATTAAACTTATATTTATGTTATTACCGTTATATAAAATATGTTTCATCGTTAATTTTTTTGTTTTTATGCTCTAAGCGGGAGGAGGAAAAG